CGCGGCCGCCAGAGCGTAACCTTCGCTACCGCGGCCGCTCCAACGGTCTACGCGCGCTCTGATTGGTCGGAATTTTCGCTTAATATCTCCTTAACGAAGCCCCATCCGACATTTTTGCAAAGGAAATTGTTGTTCAGAATCGTCTCAGCTACCCCCCATTTCCGGCTTCTCCCCGACTTTTGGGACACCCTGTATACTACACATGTGAATGTATGAAAAGAAATACAACAAAACATTTTAATAATACCCCATAATCTTAAAAAAGGCACCATACTTCATACGATGAAACTCTTATTTTTTTTTTACTCACTTTCTCTGAATTTTCGAACAAATACTTCTGTTTATATTTTTGATAGAAGACTGTATTAACATTTATGCACGTGAATGGTCACAACTTGTCATTTAAAATTCAGAGCATCCTGTACATTTTTTAATTAGAGACGTAATAAGGTATCATAAAATCACGAAATATACATATATGCCCATGCATAAGTTCAATAATTATTTCTAATCAAATTATTGCAATACGTTATTCTATACTAATTGCAATATGTTAGATATATGTAAAATAGAATTAATAAAATAATTGTTGTAAATATTATTATTTGTATTACAAAAATGATATGGTCGTAGATTTTCTTTAGTTCATCTAAATACATCTCTTCCCATTATCTTTAAAGCTTTTAAAATAAATATAAATATAACCTATATTTTTTAGATTCAGAGATATTTTCTTTTTTTTCGTATAAAGCCGAATAGAGTGAGATTAAAAACACTTGAAGTTAGTTACATTTGCTTGTATATATGTTTTGATGAACATTGAACAGTTACTTTCTTTTGGTTGCTTGCTTTAGTACAAGTGTGTACTAACCTACAATACGAGAATTTTAATTGTTACTAAGAAATCATGAAAAATAAGGATCAAATTTTATTTTGGCACTTTTAGGAACATTCCCACGATATTAAGCAAAACTAAGATTCAAGCGTTACTGTATTAACATTTCAGACTAAGATTCAATCGTTAAAATATCTGAGTTCCATCGGTTTTATAAAATCTGTGATTAACCATACCTCCAATTTTCATTTACGAAATTAAATAATACACTATGATTTGTTATTAAATACGTGACAAGTTTTAAAGTGAGGTTAAATATAATGTTTTAATACAAATAAATAAAAGTTCGATACTATGTCATTATACGATGATTTTGATAAACATCGAACGTCTGAAAAGGTGGCTGGCTGGTCATCCAGCATTAAGCTATTGCAATCTCAATTACAATTGAAAAAAGCTGCTACCACACAGGTAAATTCCTTGTTTAATAATAATTAAACTACAATATCATTCAATGTTACATTGTGTGTTTAGCCAAAACGTGAACAATATAGGAAAGCCACTGCAGTATTAGCACCTGTGATAGATTTAAAATCAAAAGCAAATCGAAATGCAGATAGAGATGAGGAAGGACCACATAGTAATCCACTCTCTTCTGGTACAGTTAGCAGTATCGGAGTAGGTGGTGAATTTGATTGGAATGTAATAAATGAGTATGATCCTATGTGGCCTAATGAATACGATAAAGTTGTTAAAGAATTACGAGATTTACGGGATAGGGAACACGATCAAGAAACTGAAATGCGTAAACGAAGACGAGATAGTTCACGGTTTGAAGATGCACAGGTAAGAAGTATAAAAGTATTAAAAAAAAAGAATAGAGTAAAAGTATATTTTTTGTACAAAGTAATATACACATCTATTTCAGGTTTCCTCTGCAAATAATACAATGATTCCCCCTGAAAGGGACGAGGAAAGGACTCCAACATCAAGAGGTATTGCTGGTGGAGCAGCTATAGCACCACCACCCTCTCTACAGGAATCATCTGATCTTCCACCTCCAACTCCAAGACAATCTACTAACATGGGCTATGCAACATCATCTGTAGCAGCAAAAATAATGGCCAAATATGGTTTCAAAGAAGGTCAGGGGCTTGGTAAAAAAGAACAAGGAATGTCTGTTGCTTTACAAGTAGAGAAAACTAGCAAACGAGGTGGTAGAATTGTAGGAGAAAGAGAACAACTCATGCCACCACCTCCACCTATTGCTGTATCACCACCTCCATCGCAACTAACTTCTTTAGCACAGCAAACTGAAGAGCCTAGCATTACAGAAATAATGAAATCTCCAAGCAAGGTAATGTTTAAAATAATTAAAGATGCTATTTTTCAGAATTACATGTTCATTGTTTTCTTCAATTAGGTTGTACTGTTACGTAATATGGTTGGACCTGGAGAAGTAGATGAAGATCTTGAACCTGAAGTTAAAGATGAATGTAACACAAAATATGGTGATGTTGCACGAGTTATTATTCACGAAGTAACAGAAGCTGCTGCAGAGGAAGCTGTTAGAATCTTTGTGGAATTCAAAAGAATAGAAAGTGCTATTAAGGCTGTTGTTGATTTGAATGGACGATTCTTTGGTGGAAGACAAGTTAAAGCAGGTTTTTATTCCAGTGAAAAACTAGACAGTTTACAATTAATGGACTAATTTCTTATTGTACAATCTTATTTTAGAAATGTAAGAAACATTTCAATTTATATGGATTAAAAAAGAATAAAACATAATATAGCTTGATCTTTTTTTTATATGTATCATATAATTAATGATCTTGTGTGTGTAAAATAAAGATAAAGACAAACAATAAATATACATAAAACAATTTCTGTACTACGTAAATGAAGACAGCAGATATATGATTGTATACAAAGTATATAATTGGTAAAACTTTAGCAATTATATGGGAGTTCGGTAATTTAAATTTTATTTTAATTTGTTATTGCTAATTAAATTTTCAATTACTTCGCTTAATTGAGTACTAAATGCAGCAAAACTAAAAGTTTTCACAAATCTCTCCTTACCAGCATTACCAAATTCTTTTATATATGTTGCATTTTTGATTAAGTAAGCTATTTTTGAAGCAAATGCATCACCAGATAAATCAACTAAAAACCCAGTAACACCAGATATTACAGATTCTTTTGGTCCACCAGAATTATGTGCAATTACTGGTTTACTTGTATACATTGCTTCAAGTGGAACAATACCAAAGTGTTCATTTGGTGGTGTATACAGTAAAATTTTACAGTGATGTAGAAGAGATACTTTATCGATATCCGAAGGGGAACGAAGGAATATTATTTTGTCTGAGACATGTAATTCATCTGCAAGTTCTATTAATTCCAAATAATGTTCTACATTTTCTTCAACTCTTTTATCATAGCCACCAGCCATAATTAAATATACCTTCTTGTATTCCTCGTCGCTTAAGTACTTTTTAAGTTCTGCTAATGCCTCTATTGCTAATCCTAACTTTTTCTTACGTTCATATCTATTAATAGATAAGAGTATAATACTGTCTAATGGTAATTTTTTATCGAGTACTCTTTCCAAGGATATTACCCGAGTTTTATCAAAAAAATCTGTGTTAATAGAAGGATATAAAACTTCTGGTTCAATATGTAATCTCTTAAAAGTGTTCCTAAATACGGAACGTGTGTACATGCTATTTACAAATATTTTGTGTGCCATTCCAGTAGTAATTTCTTCTAAATAATTAAGGGGTATACGATACAATTGTTTACCAATGCCTTCAGGTTGTGAAAGTAATTGATCTGGATAATGGCAATAGTATATTACGTATGGAATTCGTAGACGAAGTATAGGAATGCATACAGAAACTAAGTCACAAAAAACAATTTGTGATCGATGTTCACAAAGTATGATATAAATAGCTGCATAAATCTGTGAAAAAATATAATATTAACATATTAAAATAAAATAAATATTTCGTATAAACAAAATAAGCTTACCATACGAATGTAAGCAAATAGGGCAATGAATCTACCCAAAATATGCTTGGGTAACCAGTCTCCCACAACTGTGATAGCAATTGTTCCATCTTTAGTTTCAGAGAAACAATGTTCTCGATCGTGATGAGTTGTCACGAAATTAACCTCATAACCTTTTCTTTTTAAAGCTAATGCTGCGTCAACAACTAATCGTTCTGCTCCTCCGATTCCCAAATCCGGATGTAAAAAAGTAATACGTGGCATTTTTTCTAATTAAACAACAACAAATATAACATTTATAACAAAAATATAAAATAACGGTATATACTACACTACCCAATACCGCTAATATTTTTTAATACAGTATTACTAAACTACCGATCTACCGATTACCGATCCGCAGTCTAGTAACACCTGTTACCTGTTATAGTTTTTTATTTTTAAAGCTATTGTTAATACAACGAATTACTATATATAGAGATACATCCATGATACATCACGTACAATCACGTATTTAGATTGTAAATATGTAAACTTGGTTAAATGCAGTGACATTAAATAAAATATACGGTGCTGTAATCTACAATACAGTTACGATCACGAACAAATTTTAACATGAATGTAAACATGTCAGAGTAATATTGAAAATAAGTGCACATCCCTGTGACTGAATACAATTATCTGCGTTCTAACGAGTCAATAACAAAAGAAGTTAATCAATTTTATCGTCCCATGCGATTCAAGTAAAAGGTAAACTTTACTAATATTTAAATGGTTGTTATTAATTATGTCGAATACTGTAAGAAGTATTATCGTGGAAAGTGAAAAAAAACGTTTGAAAGAATTATTTTATTTAATGGATGGCGATAACGATGGTTGTTTAGACTATTACGAAATGAAAGCTACACTGAAAGCTTTAGGTTTTATGGTTAAAAAATCTCATGTTTTAGCAATTATACGAATGTACGACAAATATGGTTATAACACAATTTGCTTTGAGGATTTTAATTATGTTGGTATGTTTAACATGATATTGGACAACCATATACTCTTAAAATTGTTTACACATTTGTATTAGAAATTGTATGGAAAATTAAATTTTAATATTTCTTCAGTATCACAGAAACTAACTAAACAAAGTTTCTTAGATGAAATTAAATACGCATTCAAATTATTTACAAATAATTCTACAAATAATAAGATAACATTGAAAGATTTAGAAGGTTTTAACGAGAAATTTGATTGTAACTTAACAATTGAAGAAATGGAACTTATGATTGAAGAATTTGATTTGGATCATGATGGTTGCAGTAAACAAATTTGAATATTAATTAAATTACTGTTGTAACTTAAACCTAATGATACATATTTCAGTTTGTTCTTTGATTTTACAATTAATTCAGAATATATACTTATAATTTCAGTTAATGAAAGTGAATTTGTAGAGCTTATGATGGATCTTCAAATTTAAGTCAATTTTCTTTTGTTCATGAAGTCAATTTAACAACATTATCACGATGAATTTTGGAATCAACTGGGAAGAAGAACATAGACGTACATTACTAGAAGGTAATGTAATATTGGAACGCTCTACACAATCAATTGCAAGATCTCAAGCAGTTGCTGCTGAGAGCGAGCAGTTAGGAACAGAAGTTATTTCTGAATTGAGTGAACAAAGAGAACAATTATTGAGAGCAAACAGAAGATTATCGCAAACAGATGAAAAGTTAGATAAAACACGAAGAATATTACATGCGATGCAGAGAAATATTTTCATGAATAAATTTGTATTGATTTTTATCATATTGTTGGAAATAGCTATACTTGGTATTACTGTGTATTTAAAATTTTTCCATTAATACCATACTACATTATATTATTTGATTTAATTGTTATATAATATATTGTGTACATATGTATGTTCTTAATATCAGTATGATAATTGTATTATACGTATAACAACTATTTAAAATTTCGTTGTAATTAAAGTGTTTTAATAAATCATAAAGGTGAACACCAAGCTTTGTTTAAGTAATACGATTGATTACAAATTTTAGACTTATTTTTTATTTAAAAGATTTGTAGATTAATTTAATCTAAAAATGTTGTCCGAATTGACAGAAAACCGCGACTAATCAAACCATCCTTTTCAAGGAACTCCGACATTTTTGGGACACCCTGAATTAAATAATAAGTGTAGGAAATAATAAAATGATCAGCGCATGTGTGATCATATCAAATTTATCATTTTTTTAAATATTTTATTTAATACTGGTTTTAGTACCAGTGGGGCAGTGATGGGCAAAACCCTAGGCTTCGAATAAATCTGAAGTTTGCCGACATGTTTGTCTCGTTTCCTCTTTTGAACATTTTCCAAAGAAAGAAACGAGACAAACACATCGGCAAACTTCAGGTTTATTCGAAGCCTAGGGTTTTGCCCATCGCTGCTCCTTATACATGTTATACAGTCTTCATGGGCCCGATTGATGATAAATGATAAATGAGAGTTAGTTCTCCGTGGAGTTATGTATACATTTAAAATACGTAGAAAAACTTAAAAATTAAAAAGTATTATAAACACCTGTGTTATATATACAAATTAACAAAGAAATAACTGAATTAATGAAACACTGTGGGGTTAAACTTTGTCTCAGTGGTATAGTAAGCGTATAGTCATTGACTTAAATGTCGTTAATATAAGTTTGTTAAAAGAACTGTTTAGAAAATGTCACAGGTGATTAAAAAAAGTAAGAAAAAACAAGCAAAGAAAGAGAAGACGAACCAGAAAGAGGAGAAATCTGAAGAAAGTGTAAAAGATACACCAAAGGAAAATGTAACATTGTATGTAATGGAAAAATATTGTATTTTGTATAAAATATTTTCAAAGTGTAACATGCGTACTTTTTTATGTAATAAATAGTGTCAATGTAATCGTAATAATATTAATTATCGATATTTCATGAATGAAATTTAAAAGATATATCATTTTCCAGAAAGTATGGTCCTTCTCTGACATTTCCCTATCAAAGGGTATGGTCGCGTTGTGCCCTAATACTTGCAGTGTTATTCATAGTTTGGTATAATAGTAAACAGGGTAAAGAAGTTCATTTTGCAAAACAAAAAGAGATTTTATTAAGTCGTACTCAATATGTTGAGTGTTCAAAAGATTATAAAGCAGAAACAAACGAATATCCTGAGTGCATGCCTGAAAAATGTGGAAGAATAGTTACAGATAAACTAGTGTCATCAACAGAAACCGATATTCTGTTAAAGGTAGCAATGAATGGTTTAAATTTAGGTGGCTCAGAAGGAGGTGCTAGTATCTTGGATCTTCATTCTGGTGCATTAAGTAAAGGTCTTGGTTTTATTGATATTTATACATTGCCAGAAACAACAAAAATATTTAATAGTGCCGACTTTGCAATTTATAAGTATGTAAATTTGTCATATATATATATGTTTAAAGAAGATATATAAATCTCAATAGTTACATGATCCTTTATTTTTGCAGGGTAGTGAAAACCAAAATACAACATGCAGTAGCACATAATTTTGGGGTACCTGCCAATAAAATATTTTTAACAAAACCAACATTCTTTTCTCGAATGACTAATGTATCTGCAAAAACAATACACGATGAATACTGGCATCCTCATGTTGACAAGGTGCGTATGTTAATTGGTTGCTATTAACTAGATAGAAGTACTTTATTTTGAATTTAATTTTTTCATAGGAAACTTACAAATCATTCCATTATACATCTTTACTTTATTTAAATGATTTTGGAAGAGACTTTGAGGGAGGACGATTTATATTTATTGATAGAGATAATGTTAATACAACAGTGGAACCTCGAAAAGGTAAATAACAATAATAACCAGGAATGATACATGCAAAGAAGAGTAACTCTAATTTTTGACTTATTTTATAGGTAGAGTATCTATGTTTACTTCGGGTAGTGAAAATTTACATGCAGTTGAAAAAGTACAGTCTGGAATTCGTTATGCATTGACTGTATCTTTCACATGTGATCAAAATGCTGCAATCTCTGATCCCAACTACCGTACAAAACAAGAAAAATAAATTCCTTTTATGAATTAAGAGCATATATTACATTTAATTTTTTATAAAGCATATACGCTTTTAATGTTTTATGATTTTTTAAATAAAGCATTTTTTGTTTAGCGAAAATATTGTGTTCTTATAGGTTATTATCTATTTACACATATCAGTATTAGACTATGTTAATATCTATTAAGTTTATATTTATGGGTTTTCCATAAAATAAAATTTCAAACGAATATATTAGGTTCATAGTATTTACAGCTATAATTTATTTAATGCTCTTTATTTGCTTATCAACATAACACAAGAAAATATGTAACATATAACAAGTGTAAATTGCATACTTTTAATTGTAATTAAAGTAACTAGAATCATGTACACTTTTATTATCTAACAAACTTATTGCTAATGAAAAAATAGTGTGTTTGCTTTCAATAAAGCATTAAGTATGTTATGTGCAATAGACTGTGAAGATATATAAATATATAGAATATATGTTAATATTTATCACTGGAATGGTTGATTAATATTAGTTCAGATACACTATTAAAAAATATACAAAACTGAGATGGGAAATGTGATAAGATTTTTCAAACGTCATTCGTTTCTTTTGTAAAATATTTTTAATCAGTTTCGCACATATTTCTTGTATGTAAAAACGTCATGGATTCCCAGAAATCTAGACATGAAATGACACTTAACAATGCATAATGCAACAATATATATGTCTATTCTATATGTCTAAGTAATGGTAACTTGTCCACCAGAAACCACTACAAAGACCCATAGTAAATATTGTAGTTTGAAATGTACTATAAATATTTATACTTAAGATCCATTGAATAATTATAGTAATACCCCTTTGTACTACATGAAATTATTACAAATTATAAAACAGAAACTAAAGATACACTTTTATCTCGATATCATTTTATAAAATTTACGATTAAGGAATATAAATTCGCTATGCGAGTTAATAATGCAAATGATATGAACAATGCGAGTGGAAACTTCAAGGGAGAAACATTTGTACAAAAGGAACTTTACAAAGAATATCTAGGAATCATATTAAATATTAAATATTAAGTTTCGATGATCTCTGTTATAGTACATGATACTTTATAGAACGTATCTATGCGACATTTATGCACATTTAAATAATGATATAAATGTAGTAGATTATTTCCTCAATTTTCTGATATTCTAATAAGTAGAAAATAGTTTACGTTTGCAGAATTTTTGCAATTTGTGTCGCGCTGTCTCCTATTAGAAAACTTCTATGGTTGCCAGGAACTTCATTAATTTGCACTTGGCT